TGGTAAACCACTCGGGGTCAAGAAATGGAGGAGGCAGGAGCAGTAGGCAATTACCGCAAGCTCTTTCGGCTGCTCCGCACCACTGGTGCCAGAAAACCGCGCGTTAGCGAGACAATCTGAGACAGCGCACGTGCACTGATACATAATAAGGAGCGCCGTATCGCTAGTTGAGCGGACATGTTCCTATTTAGGTGATGCAGGACGAACCATTGACGGTTAGGTTAGAACAACTGTCGGAGGCCGAGGTCAGAAAGGCGATCACAGCCCTCAATCGTTTTCTTCCCGCTGGCCTGGATTCCATCCCAATTGCACTATTTAGGGATGGAGGTGAGGTCCTCTGCAAAGCACTGACCTCCCTATTCGAACGTATCTGGAAGGCAGAGAGTGTCCCGGATAATTGGTGCGAATCGATTATAGTGGCAATATACAAGAAGGGCAGTCGCACCGAATTTTCTAACCACAGGGGTATTAGCCTAAGGCCAGTTGTGGCAAAAGTACTGGCGTCGATTCTCGTTCGTCGCAACACTGTGGAACGGAAATCTCGGATTAGGGAAGAGCAAACAGGTTTCCACCCAGGACGTGGCTGTTTACACCATATAATCACTTGGCGGCAGGTGCTAGAGCAGCGCCACGCATACCGCAGACTGACAATACCTGTGTCCCTCGATTTCAAGAGTGCGTTCGATTCAATTGCTCGATCGATTCTGTTCGAAATACTTGCGCGGAAACGTGTTCCAACGAAATATGTGAACATCCTTCGTGCTCTATACCCCAACACTACATGCCACATCAGGATCTACGGTGGCCTGTCGGATAGCTTTATTGCTACAAGTGGCGTTCGTCATGGTTGTCCGATTTCCCCACTTTTGTTCAGTTTCGTCGTGGATTCTATCATGGAATGTTCCCTTGCGGAATCTCACGATGTTGGCGTTGAAGTGCTGCCTGGTGAAACATTAGTTAATCTTGATTATTCGGATGATATCGTCTTGCTTTCGACGATGTTGGGGAGGCACAATCAACCCTGAATAGCCAGTCCAAAGTGCTCCCATTAATTGGTATGCATTTCGCACCTTCAAAGTGCAAATTGTTGCTGCAGTACCACCAGCCACTTGATGACCCCTTGACCCTTGCTAACGAGGAACTCGAGGTGGTTGATCAGTTCAGTTATCTTGGCAGCTGTATCAGCAACGATGGGCGCATAGAAACTGACCTCAGCTCACGTATTGCAAAGGCCAGACCTGTCTTCTTGAACCTGCGGCATCCCTGGCAACAGAATGGAATTTCCCTCCGTCTTAAATGCCGTGTATACACGGCCACAGTGCGGGATATTCTGCTGTAAGGTAGTGAGACTTAGCCCCTTAGGGCAGAAGATCTGAGCAGTCTTCAAATTTTTGATCATCGCTGTCTGCGAAACATGGCACCAACATGTCCGCAACGACGATGTGCTTAGGCGAGTACTAGGTAGTGATAATCATGCTAGCTCATTAGAACAACAGATAGCATTGAATAAGTTGCGTTGGCTCGGGCATGTGCTTCGTATGCCTAGTCACTGCTTATCTGTGAGCACCTTGTTTAGTCTGCCAGGTGTAGGGTGGCGTAAGGCTCGAGACGGACAGAAGTTGACTTGACAACGAAAAATGAAGTTACTGACGATGAGACTGGGTGCCATTGGTCCGTCTCGCCTTCCGGGCTGGAGTCCACGTGACTAAACTTGTGCATGGCTCAAGTCTTTACAGGACGTGGTTCGCGACCGACACCAGTTGCGCGTCTGTTGTCGTGTCCTAATTGGATTGCCTGTTTAAAGTGTGTTTGGTGTTGTTATCTGCTGGGAAATGGCTAATTATGACGCGGGGCAATGAAAGGCGCAAGGAAGCTGTCACGCCGATGCCGACTTATCTTTGCACCATAGCCAGCTGTTTGTGACAGTATGATTTTTACACAAGGTGTGGGCGCCTTGACCCTGAATGTTTGCTTAGGTCATTAGGGTTTTCCGGTAAGTCCCCCTTCTCTCCCTCTTCTTGCTCTTTATCTCATAGGTCTTCATGGATGTATGGCAGCGAAGCATCAGTTCAAATGGCTGATGTACTGCTGTTGTTGTTGTTGTTGTTGTTGTTTGGTTGCCTGACGTTACGAGTAAATTCCAACTTTGTGACAAAGGTGGCTAGATAAATACAATGTAAATTGAAATGATATTAGATGTTGCCCAGTAGCAGTCACGGTACACAACTCTCGTCTAGAACGATTTTGTTCTCACCAGGTACAGACATAGGCCCGTCAGTTACAATCACAACGATCGAGTCAAACAAGCTTCACCTCAGTGCGGATCGCTGTCCACATTGAGGTTGTACGACGCAGTATATCCACGCAACAGATACATAAAAGTTATCGATCTAATCCGTCACAGACCGTTGCAGCAAGCGTTGCCTGCTGAGACTAAGTGGCTTAACAGCAGAAGATTTGCTGCGATACAAAAGGACCCAAGTTCGATTGCCTGTTCTCTCTACCTGATAGCAGCAACTAGCTTCGAGACCGGTGGGGGCGCAGTGTTTTCTGATGGGCTACATGCAATCTGCGGCTGCTTTACCGTTTATGTTCCCATTGTTCGAGATGACCAAGGTTCACTGCAATGGGAATCGCCGTCCACATTGAGTCTTTGCGTTGCGTCCTATTCAAGCAATGCTTCAATTTGACCCTTCTAAACGATGGAAAGTAATTTGGTTAATGACTGACAGAATGTTTGGTCCTATAACCAACGCAGCATATGTGATGAACAAGGTATATATGACCATTAAGACCTATCGTGGACGGAGTAATTATATTCCGTGCACGATACCAAATAACGAACTTTACAACGTGGAAATGAAGCGGCATTAGCGTTAGAGGAGATTTTCGTGCAGTCTACATACCACAGACAAATAAGCTGACCTACAATGTGACTAGCCTTGGGTTGCAAAATCTCCTCACATTTGTTCCTAAACCATGCGTCAACATGCCATGGGACCTTCCTTTCTTCCCACCAAATCTTGGACACTACGGCCAACACAGTTCACACGACTCAGTCAATCAAACTTCACACGCCTGTACTCCCGTTTCATCCTTTCGATAAGTGTCGGCAGTGCGCATTCCATCTGACGCCTGTGTGGATCAAACGCACGCCTCGAACGTGGCAAGTCTGTGGTTGAAACCTCCGTGATACGTTGGACGACAACGACCTACATGTCATACATCACCGCGCTTTAGAAAATGACCTGTAACTTACTACCGTGAAAAGGACAAGGTAGCTTCCACACCGACCGATAAATTTACTAAGCTGAAGCTGCTAATTAATTTATGATGAACGTCTACTTCTACCATGCAGTTCCAAAACCACTTCCTTTTAAGCATCCCTATGTTATTGCGGTTGCGCTTACTTACTGCGATATGGCTGGAGTACTGCAACAAAATTTACAGTAGTTCTGTTCGTTTGTACAGAATCGTTCAGCCGTCAGGTTAGGCATACACTCTGTTAGAGGATCAACGTTCTCTACAAAGCTTCTTGAATTGCCCGCTGCTCTTGTAAGACTTGTCTAAGCAGCTTCATAGTTAACGCGCATAAGCGACTAGCAGCCACCTACAAACATTTGTGTAAGTTTAATGTTGCAGGGAGTCAACTTAACATTTATAGTTTTAAATCCCTTTTTGGTCGGTTTTTATTTACTTTGGTTGAGTCGTCAACGGAGATGAAGTGGAACCAGATCTAACTTCCACAACAAATATTCTACTTGCCTGTTTTGTAGCATAAGACCAACTTCGCACCGCTTCGGCTCTCCTATGTTGCTTACTCGCGAGACTACCCTAAGTTACAAAACATAAACGAAAAACTAAGAATACTGGAAACCAACCGGTAACAAAATTTGCCAAGAATTTGCTGAAATGATGCTTTAAACTAGTAATCTATCCACTCTCCGATTGCTATGATTTTAAAATGATATTATCTTAATGGTTTTGGCACCACCACTAGCCCTACCGTTAATAACTAAAATGACACGAGCTTGATTTCAGTTTGTGCTACGTGCCTTATGTGGCAACACAGAATTTATTTTGCTTACCTAATTGTTAAAGAAGCAAGACAATGAGAAGGAAAGCATTTAAAGTTCATACTATTCTGTAGTAGCTGTTCAATTGCTACTCAACATCTTTATGTTTCATACTGTAAGGATAGCTTTTTTAATCATTGTTTTTTGTTAAGATTGATATAGGGAATAGTGATTAATTGTCGTAAATTCCTATTCTTCATTGTCGTATCCACCATCACTGACCACCTCTATCTAACGAAATGTTAGTGAAAGCTCTCGAATTTCTTTTCGAACTTTCTGAAATACTTCTATCCACATAAATTCAGCAACTATTTATGAATGTTTATTTGGGCGGGGATTCAAACTTAGGCGACCTTTCCTCCTTTCCCTCTTCAAGATTCGCAAGCAGCTATCAACGTTTGCTAATAAGTAATCGAGAAGTCCCTTTTACGTATATGTGTAAATTTATAAAATATAATCAGACATAATAATTAAAATGGAAAGTGGAGATGCTTTAATTATTGAAGCTCGTGCGTTCGCAGACACTGTTACAAGTTAGATGCTCAGAATGAAAAGCGAAAAATGGGTCCGTGCACCTGAATACAATTTTTAAAAAGCAACTGGCTTTCATATTCCTATCGTAAAAACCGAAGGAATTCATTTTGTCCTAACCAGAGTTAACTACTTTAAATATTGAATGCAAACGTTAACCATAGCAAGCAAATATTGCATACTTAAGTATTTAGGCCACGAATCGCACAAAATCTGACGTGCTTATATAAGAAATAGTTGTTAGAATCTCACATAACAGCGTTCAATCGCTTGGTCCATTGCAAACCTGAGAATGGTTATCAAGCGCCCGAATTTTATCCTTATTTAAAAGCTGAGGCGGTTGTACTGCTTGATAAGTACGCAGCATTTAACCGTACCTGTTCTCTTTTTCAGTAACACAACATGTGGACTGCCTTGTGCCGGTGGTTACTCATCATTTTTAACATCATTTTGGCAGTAAGTTTTGACGCTTTGTGTTTCTATATTCACCGGATTTTCCTTGTGTTCTTACTGGAATCATAGGGGGCTTTGTAGTTCATTAGTAGTTTCCAATGCTAGGATTGCAGCATCTAGTAATCTCACAAGTTTCATGCATTTCGCATCACACTCACTCTCCGCAATAGGAGCCACAGGAAAGATACATGTAACCTGGTAAAAGCCAAGGTATAGGTAGAAATTCGTCACATCTAGAATCACTCAGACAGTCGCCACACACCCGGAAAAGCACTGTGCGCGCGTTTCATCCTTTCGGGAACCATTCAACTCCCCCTAATACTCTGCTGTAATCAGTACGCAGACCAAACTGCTTATAATGCCATAATTTAATTGGCGGCTTAAGTTTGATAAGCTCGTCGCTTGGTGAGGGGGCTACCCTGTCCGCTGCAAGGCAGTAACGTGTAAGTCAGTGGATAGTGAGCGGCGCTATATCACATCTAGTAACTTATTCATGGTGGTCGTTGCAGTCCCCCGTAGCTCAGTGGTCTCAACCACGGACTGGCAACAGTCGAGTTGCGGGTTCGAGCCCTACCAAGGGTCCGGTAGAATGCGCACTGCTGATGATTCCCGAAAGATGAAACGCGCGTAGAGTGCTTTTCCGGGCGTGTGGCGGCTGTCTGACTGAGTCTAGATGTGACGAATTTCGACCTATACCATTCAACTCCCCTACTACTCTTCTGTAAAAGCCAAGGTGCTTTTACCATAGGGATCATTCGGTTCACAATCGTAAATAAATGCTACCAAAATCATTAATTTCGTAGGAATCTATGTTGCTAAAATGTGATGCAAACGGAGCAAGAGCTGCGATTTGCCTCTCGAGTAAAGAGCCAGTTGACTGTGCTTATCACATATTGGGATAGTGAAAATGCGCGAACCACAGACGGAGAGTGGAACCTGATAACTAATTCCTACACTTCTGGTAGTGTGGCATCAACATCTTCCATAATAGAGGTCGCCGTTATTTATGGAAAATATATTTTGTAACACATGAAGTATGACTTGATGTCCCCTGTCCAGTTGTAAACAATCCATTGAATAAGATTGAACATGAAAAATTTTCATGAGGGGATGCCTGAGTATTAGAGGAACAACTAATTAAGCGAATTTGTTCTATACCATCTAGTGTTTTGCTTTGAAATTTGCTCACCGTGCTGGCATAGGAAGTTGGTAGACTAAGAATACGCACTCTATACTCCACCTATGATCGGAGTTTCGGTGTTTTTAGTACAGATAGTTCAAACTTATTAGTGCCACCGTACAATGCAAAGAAGTAAGAAGCCGTTCAAAGATTAGGTGATCGTATTAAGCCTTAGTCAGATAACCATTCATTCTCTGCAGTCTTACTCAGATTTGCGCGTCGTGGTTAGAGCAAACATGTCATATGGGCGTAGATACATTGCTGGATCATTTTGTGACTTTTGTAACATCCCACACTTTTACAAACACTCCCAATAACGTTGTAAAGTTATTACTTAAGTTGGACTTGTGCAACCTCCTAACAGCATACCCATTGTTTCCGCAGTTACTTTGTGCAGGTATAATTGTCTTTGCTGGATTCCTGCTACATGGAGGGTCGGTTGTACGTCAGCTATGGTACCTAGGGATGAACTGGTTGATGCATGACCTGAAGGAGGATGTGCCGAAATATTTAAGTGGACTGGAAGATTTACTCAAGATATCTACCGGTAAATTAACTTATTACCATTAACTTATTACGCCTCTTACGCATGTGCATGTTTGGAAATGATCGACAAAATACCTCATAGGACGGTTTACTGCAGTTTTAGCCTATACCGCGTAAATTTGGGCCATGGCATAGAAGAATTTGCTAATCTATATGTCACATCTGATTTCGACTGATACCATTACTTTCGATGAAGTGGATAATATTTTTGGTATATCATTTCAACCATTTTCGGGACAAACCACTGTAGTTCATATTTGGTTATTCATTGCACACTGTTTTAGCCCATAGTAGATCCGGTTGTAAACTTTTTCCATAGGCCTTGCTTCGACTATGACTTATTACTGGAACTTGGCTTGGAAGAAGCCCGCTAGTACGTGCTTATTTATAAAAACAAAAAGAATAAGCTTTGCACACCACGAGAAGCAATCAAAAGTGTTGAGAAATCACTCCATCTTTTATAAAGTGGTCAGTATCACATTCACCGATTGATTTATAAAGATTTACATGGCATAAAAAACCCCAGGCGCATTTGTCGTCATGTGTTACCTCTTAGATTCAGTACGGATTTATGCAACGAACACTTAACTTTGCTCATGGAGTGTGATCGGACTAAATTGTCCCCACGAGGTTCTCTTCAGCTGCGCTAACCATGTAAGGCCTTTTTGATTGCGGTACTTTTGTCTTCAAACTATGCCTATTAGAAAGGCGTCTTAGAGTATCCACATCCCCTTATAAGAATTGACATAAACCAACTACCTGCATTTTATTAACAGTTGCGGTGGGCCACTTTGCGCCTGTTTCCTGTAAACAATACGTCGCTTATATTAATACGCTTTTGTAGAAAGTAGAAGTCACGATTAAAATTCACGCACAATAAGGTGCCTCGACGGGGAATCGAGCCCCAGTCCACGAGGTACATAATAATGTGCGTGAATTTTAATCGTGACTTTTACTTTCTACAATCTTTACCCTACTCACACACATCCAACTTTAATATGCTTTTGATTTTTGCAGTTTCTTTCGTTCCGTTTCTTTCTTATATTGGTCGTCTCAATGGATTTGATTTGTACTTGTTTAGCAACCCTGAACAAGTCATTGTCCCATGGCGCCTAGAGGATTGTTCTAAGGCATGCCGAGTGTATCCATTTGTGAAATCCGCGTTTGTTTCACATTCCGCACCAACTATACAGATGTGTAAGATGATGGCCATAATGACCATTAGAAGCATGCATTATGAATTCCCAGTTTGTCTATGTTTCTGGATTCTGGATTCATGACTCTGATAATTTTGTTTAGGGGTGTGTAAGTTTTGACGCTGCAATTATAGGGATGTTGTAGTGTGTTTGAATAATTATGTTCATGCACCAGGAATAAAACCGTTCGGTCTTAGGGTTATTTAAGGTTTTCAATTGCGTTGCCTGCGTGTTTGTAAAATCTGAAACCGCTGAACTAAACACAGATAATTTTGGAAAGAAAACAACATAGTTTGCTCCTCATACGGAATCGGTAGCATATTTCACCAGTCCATTCGCTGAAAATCACTGCCGAATTTCGCCCCACTCTTTCAGTGAATACACGTCTTTCAGCAAGTTTACCAGACCTAATGCGAGGTCATCATGCTGAAGGGGTTGATGATTTCGGTACCAAATTGTGAAAGGAAGCAACTTCAATGTTTGGAGGAGGCATTACTTTTAAGCATATTGGGTAAATTGCAGCCGCGGTTCACTTTCCTACGCAACACTGCAAGTTGTCACGTATGGTATGGTTCGGCTGTTAGTTCTGCCTACTAATTGTGATAGGTCTACTGACTGATTAACTGAAACAGATTGGCAGGTCACGGATTGTTAGCTATTCTATTACTACTGACAGCATCTGGTACGATACACGATCCAAATTCGGTTTATGGCCAGTTTACGAATACTGGCTAGATGTGACCGTTAGGGATGTAACATGATTTAATCTATGCGCTGATAAAGAACATTGAAGCCCGCAGTATGAAGTCCATTTTTGGCCTTGTCGATTAAGTCTACGGTTGTTGCTATTTGAACACTATCCATAGCAAGAGATTTACTAGAATGAAAAGAAATTAAAACACAGCGTATCTGATGTGGTATGGTATTTCATTGCGCAAGCATATTTGCGCCTTGCAATATTTCCACATTTTATATATATTTATATATATAATATATATTTATATATTTTATATATATTTATATTTTCCTATTAAGGTAGAAATCGACCAATTTTTGATTACCGTGAAATGATATTGGTCATAGAGGGGTTTGCATCTGTATTCAGAATTTGTGACTACTAACCAAATCCTACCTGGAAATGGCAGCTACGCAGAAACATTTTGGTTCACTTATGAGTGATTGTGTAGAGACGCGGGACTTAGGAAAAAGGTGATCGATACAAGTGGGCTTAGTGAATTAGAAGCAGGGATATTGTTGTCTCTTTCTCTACCAAGTTCAATAATATTCGGACCTTCAACTTCCAAGTATCTTTATAACTGTTGGTACCTTTATGATTACTTAAGTCTCTAGGTTGCTTTGGCAGCCGGAAATGTTGGATCCTGGTGTTCTGATCTATCTAAAGTTAAACACACTTGGCAATATGTGGCGTGGCTTATCTCTGTTTCAATACAACATCACAAACTTGCCTGATTCAGTAACCGCTTACATTGAACTGCTATGATGATCACCAAATAGGCAGATGCCGGTTTTTTGGCGCTTGTTACATGGTGCACACGATGATTCTATGTTAAGAAGCCTTTGCTGCCGAGGTTTTGTCATTTATTAGGAAAATGGTTTGCTTCTAATGACAGTTGTATTCATACCCTATGTTCGGCATTAAATTCCCTTCAATTATAGCCACAAGCTGCAAGTTAGACAGTGTGTTATCCACATGCTAGTATGCCAAGTTGTAAATGCAGCTTGTTGACTTGGTAACAATATAGATACTTCCATGCCCGTACGTAGTAAATTGAACTCTCTGCATCCAGTGATTCAGTTGTAGCGTGTGCCGATATCATCAATAAGTTCACATATCATGTATTTTGTTTCACAGACTTGGAGAGCTTTGTGAATGAAGAGTAAACGATTATAATGTAAATCTCTCCGTAATGACGAATATACCAACCTAATGTTGGTTTGATGAACGACTGAGAGAACTTGCACTGCTTTGCATGCAAGAAGACAGGCAACACTGAGTTTATTCAAACGGTCTTCCAGAAACAAGTAGTAGTTTAAGAAGTAAGGCGCACGTTTTCCAAGTGCCCCATTATTCAGTGATAAAAGCAACAAGGTATTCGGACAAGCCGAAATCTGTACGCATGTCTAACTGTTATGTAAGGAGCCGAATGGTAAAGTTTTCTTGTCTGAAGAAAGCACTGAATTAGATTTTGCGGCGCAAACGGGCTAAACTCCTGCTTCTACCTAGTCAACTGTGATTTGTCTCAAATTAATTATCCCAGTTCTACTGAATCACAGTTGCAGCACACCCACCGACATAGAGGTTCTAACTACTAGTTCATTAAATGAGCCAACAGCGCAGATAGTAAGGGCTAGATCTGTAACCTAGCTTTCTATAAATAACAACATTAAAGAGTTTAATAGGAAAGAATAGTGATTATATATAATGAATGAAGGCGGTTGGTAGGTGAACGACAAAACGATGCTTCACGTGATCAACGTAAGCTTAAGTTATAACATGCTGATCATTGCAATATTGTTATTAATTGCTAGTATTATCATGTCAAAATGTCATCAGACGGACTTCGATACTAGCTTTTACTTCTATGAATTAATCACGTCTTATGACATTCCGAACGGCTCTTCTTTCCATAGGCGATGAAACCATTATATTACATCTTCCTCAAATTTACGAAATTAATAGTTTTATTTTTATTAAGTTTGGTAAATAAATTCGGGTCTAGAAATTTAGTAAATTGCTCTCTTTGTGTCATTTGTACTCTGTGGAAATAAAATATAACCCGATTACATTAAAGCGCTATGACACCCAGATCAATTGGTATTAATGTTGGAACCACACAGAGTTTACGCCGATTTTGGTGCTAGTATCACCCATTCAAGCTTTGGTATCAAGTGGCTACTTGTGTTGCACTTTGAAAGGTATTTTGCCGTAGCAACTCGTTGCATACTGTAACACTTGCTGAAAATTTCCCTGCTTGCTTTATTAACTTTTTTCTTTCTATTTACTTTCACTTTTTAAAACAGTAAACACTGCGATCGGTATGATAGTCGCCGCTTCATTGTTGCTGATTATAAGCGTAGTTGGCATTTTCGCAGCAATTTTCGCTCACAAGCGTACCCTTATTTCTGTGAGTTATCTATTGCGATTTACTTTTGTTCAATCATTGTAAAGAAATTTACAGCTTTCCGTGCATAACGCATGCCTACATTTTGGGTACCTTGAAATCGTTGATACTATCTCTACCAACTGGCCAAATTATAAGTATTATATACCCTTTGTATACATATGCTAGACCTGAGACTTGGGCCCTCATCGTTGTTATAAATAGTTAGTCTGAATGTACATTGCAGCCACGTTTGGCTACAGACTTCCCTTCAAAACCCTAGAGGTGATGGAAAAATTAGCACACACAATACTGAGCAGGAAGCATTTGAAAACGAGTAGCAGTTGGTTTGACGATTAGCCATGCATAACTCTTCACCTCTGCCCGGCCATATCCAGTGTAGATGATAGCACTTGAATATAACACTACATAAAACATATCCGTACATATATCCATAAATCGGTCCCAAAATTAGTGGTTAGCTTCGTTTATATTAGCAGTGTTCATGTTGACCAGTTTAGGGTGGGTTCCTCAATAACGACCCGTTTATTTAGTTCAACATAATACGAATTAGATAGCCTTAAACCAGCGACATCCTGTCTCACTTGGTGCCTGAACATATTTAACGTATAAATGAGGGATCCGTGTTCCCCGGTTTGGTTTTCAAGTAATTGGCATTATCACCAACTTGCAATTCAAGCTAAAAACACCTCATGGAATTAGACTGAGAATAAAGTGCATTCGAACTAAAGGCGTTAAAATTCGCATTGTCATGTTTTAAATGCTGGTAGTCAGACTACTGTTCGTCGTACCATCGCTACAACTTTGCGTGATTCTTAGTTTGCATGATAGCTGTTTTTCATCTCTGTAATATAGTTCTCTCTAATATTAAATATTTGAATTTAACTAGATCAAGCTTATGTTAACTAGTTGCGGAAGTGTTCGGTTTTTAAGACAAAAGCGATGCCATCCTTCTGTATATTTGCGAATTTAGAGCCAAAAGCGACCACGTTACCGCATTTTTTTGGATCGTCGAGTCTTAGCGAAAAACTCCAACTTCCCCGCTCAAGTCTTTCTTAAATGTACCATACTAGTGTGAAATTCGAACGAAAGTATACTCATTTCGAAGTAGTACTCCACAAGTCTAAGGCTGGCGTTGTGGGTCCGAGTAACCCTACTTGGACTATCTGGTTACCAGTAACACGTCATGGGTAACAGCATTACTGATGATTAACCAACGTACTTTGCCGTATTCTGAAGCACTTTACATGAGAAAGCAGAGCATAAGAAAATTCGAAAAGTTGCACTTTAGTACCACCGTATTTTCTTATAGGACATAATAAAATCGAATGCGCTGGTACCCAACTGGCTAGAAGGTTGGAAGACAGGAAAACCAAGACTAAATGAAGGCACCGGCGACGCATCAGATGCTTCATAATTACGAGCACAATACACTATCGCAGAGATCATTCTCAGTACGGTTAGCATAGGTTTATGTGGCAAAAGCTAAATCAGAATCATAAACTTTGGCTACCTTTGAAATACTTTTCACTTAGAATGAAGGACCAGTTACTGATGCGGTCCCGAGCACGGACCACAATGGTCATCAACTCCTTCATGTCTGCACAGTGTGGGTGTCTGCAAGTGAAACTCTACAGCTACCTTGTTCATCACAACTAAATACCTAAGCAAATCTCATCAGCGCCATCAGCAGCAGCAACGACAATAGCAATACACAAGCCACTTGAACTGATGCTTCGCTGCCATACAAACATCATGACATATGGAACAAAGAATATTATGACCCAGAATCAGTGGCTGCCGTAAAACCTTAATGCAGTAAGCGAACATTCGGATTCAGTGCACTTACAGATTGTGTTAACAACACACCGTCATAAACAGCTGGCTATCCAGCAAAAATAAGACGGAAGCAGCGAAACAGCATCCTTGCAGCTTTCAAAACCCCTCGTCCTAATCAGCTATTACCCAGCGGATAACTTAGCGCCAAACACACTTTAAACCGACAATCCGACTAGGAGACGGCAGCAGACGCGCAGCTGGTGTCAGCTGCGAGGCATGTCCCGTAAAGTCTCGAGTCAAGCACAAGGGGAATCACGTAGAATCCAGCCCGGTGGGCGAGACGAACCGACGGCAACGAGTTTGGTCGTCATTGACTTTGGTTCCCGCTGTCTAGTCAACTTTGTCAACCTCGGGATTTGTACCACCCTACATTTCGGCAAGCGGTGACCAGACATATGTAGTAAGCGCCCAAGCTAAAGTAACTTAATCAATGCTATCTGTGCTAAGAAATTATCTTAGTTAGTACTCCCTAATACTCACCTAGGTATATCATGCTTGCGCATCCGTTAGTGCCAACCGACACCAATAATCCTCCAAAGACAATGATAATCTAAGACTTGAAGGCCTCCCAGATCATCAGACTGACGAAGCCAAGTTTCAATCCTACAGTGCAGGACGGCCTTCATTCTGGCCTTGTAAACATGGTCTTTCAGAAGAAGAGAAACTCTTTTCTGTCGCCAAAGATCCCGCGGTGTAAAGATAGCAGTTATGGTTTTTTAGTGCGTGAACTGATTTCAGTTTCTACGCGCCCATCGTTGTTAATTCAACTACCAAGGTAAGTGGATCGAGTAACCACCGCGAGCTCCTCGTTATCAAAGCTCAATTGGTCATCATGTGGATGGTGGTTCTGCGGCAGCAACTTGCACAATGAACCTGTGGAGCGCATACCAAATAATGGGACCACTCTAGAGTGGCTAACCAGAGTTGATTGCGCCGCTGCCCCACCTTTGACAAGCAGGACAACATCCTTCGCATAATTAAGATCAACTAACCTTTCGTCAGGCATGACCTCAACGCATATATCGTAAGGTTTCGTAACATCATAAGATTCCGCACATTGGGATATTCCACTCCTTGGTGATAATGCAAATTACTGGTAGTGCGTTTTTGGTCAGTAGTTGAGCTGTTCGTCACATTTGGAAATGGGATTGCAGGCGTTCTGTCACTAATCGAGGTAACATCATCATTAAAGCAAATGCAGCGGTTTGGTAAGAAAGCGCTCCAAACACGGTTTGGTGCTCATTAATTCGTCTTCTAATTGAAACGGACCACATTACTTAATGTGACTGTTGTTGCATGCTGTCAAAGTGCTTTTTGTACAGCATGAATTTGTGAGTCGAATTGATCTGATATTCAGGATATCCGAAGTGATAAGGAATTCTGTTGTCAATCAAGCTGACTGTCGGGCCTGGTCAGTTTGTGATGATTGTCTGTCAAGGTGCAATCCACCCTTTTTGTGTACACCATAATAAGATCTACTTGCAGACACCGAACTTTTCAGCTTTACAAAGCTAGGGTTTACCGTCTGAGTTAGTGAGGGAAAGAAAACAGTCTGCTAACGATTTTGGTCGCCATACATTGTGCAGCTATAGGTACATTAACACAGTGTTTGTGTTAAGGAGGCCAAGTTTGACTGGCATATGCCGCAAAAGGCTTGTTCTTAGGAGCTTAGCATCAGCAAGAAAATATCAGCTAGAAACAAGCAAAACGCCCCCAAGAGGATGCACAGGTTTTGTCTGGATTTTCTCGATTCAATTTTGGCATGTTTCAAGCTGCCAAATTATCTTGCACGACTACTCCGAGATCACTTTCCTGTGTAGCAAATTGCAATAGCTGTTCCTCAAGTCGGTATTCGAGAGTACGCAAATGGCTTGTGCTCAAATTTTTGTATTTTACCAAAAGAATCTATAGACATTTCTCTGATGACCACGTAAATGCCATATCAACATCGACTTACATTTCCGTGTGCTCGTCCAGTGTCTTGATGTTGTGACAGTTCGTGACATAGTCTGCAAATATTAATAATTCCGACTAGAATATACTAGCAACGCCTTCTGCGAAGGCTAGGAATAAGCTTGGTACCTGCACCGATGTTTGGGGTACATCATAATGGAATTCAGTCTAATGGGAAATGGCGTACCGACAGTCCAAATCGGTGAACTTTGAAGAAGAAAGTTTCATATCCAACCCAGCACCGGATCAGCAATTCCATAGCTTCTAGGTTTGTGAAGGAGAGTGTGGTGTTCTAGTCGTCTGAATACTTTAGAGGAGTCCAAGTAGAGGACGTCGACTTCTACTGGGTCATGGCTAATTCATCTAAGCTTGTTCGAGCTAGCAGCAAATTTGTAGTGCATGCCAGGTTTTGGCAGAACCTGTGCACCTGTGACAATATTATCCTGTTTTCTCTAAGTATCCCGTAAGCGCCTCTGCGATATTGCCTTCCATTACTTTGGATAGCACCGGGAGGAGACTTATTGGAGGGTGCCTTGAAGGCACCGCAAGTTGCTTCTTGCTTTACTATTATTGTATATTCCAACTTGCAACACTGAAGGAAAATTTATTCCTTTAACACAGCTTTGAAAGTACCCCACCAATGTTAATCAAATATTCACAGTGATTGCCTTTAATGTCTTTTTTCATCCACACCATGGGAGCTGTGCAACTATAGGTACAGTAATCTTTTAATTAATTTAGTTACAATGACGTTTGCGTTATTTAATGGTGGGGGCGATGCATGATTTGTCAAAGCAGATAAAGTAAAGATCCTTTCTGGGAAGTGAGATAAATGGTCGCTGAACTGCGTTGGTCGCCTCTTGTGTAGTTAGAGTTAGAACATCTGCTACGAGTTGTATTGGAATTCCGCTCTGCGGTTTGCAAAGCTTGTCGACGCGCATGTGAATCACTTTGTGCTGAGTGCTGAATTTCATCTCTAATCCTCGTTTGTGCAATGGTTTCGTTGAGTTATCTTTACATCAAGTGCGTACGATCGGACAGGCGTTATAAACTCGCTAGGCCAAATCCATTAATGCTAGGCATTTTGAGTCCGGCTTCTCGGGAATTACTTCGTTCGCTGCGTGCAACAAACATTTGTTTACACTGTATTGGTCACCAATCCGGTGGACCGTGGGACGAGTTTCCTTTAGGTGGCGTCCGCAAGCTGCTCG